CTTGGACTTAATTAAATACTGTCACGAAGCGTTTAACACCAAATTATAGATCAATCCAATCACTGTAATTAACAGTGTAACAATCATTGCAATGAATTTACCATGTTAATTAGCCCAGCGGGGAACACTGCACTTTCACCATTTTATGCAGAGGTCTGAGCACAGTGCTACTCCATATATATAAAAGGCAAAGTTGTGAATGTGTGTGTCTGTTCAAAATGTTTAGCGTACTTCCCGACATGTAACAAACTGTAAATTTGCCATGTGGGTACTTTACAGACTGTACACCATGCAAAAATTAATCAAATACACTTTATTTTTTTGGGGGGGGAGCTCAATAATGCATATTTTTTTTGCACGGCAAGTGTGCTGTGACGTCAAATCTGTCACGTGACCCGCGCATGTGGAAGCGTAACGCATTGTAGTGTAGTGGTTAGCGCGCCGCGCTACGAACCCGGCGACCCGAGTTCGATTCCCGCTCACGGCCACCACCGGTGACGATTATTTCACCCGCTCCTGGGCCTCCCCTAGGTCGACTCAGCCTCAAACGAGTAACTGCTGTGGTGTGTGAACATCGCCACTGGGGAGACAAAGGCGGCCGCGCGTGGTGGATCCAAGTTCCGGGCGGAGCCGGGTAGTACAGCTAATATTGTATATGCAGATCAGTACGTATTTAGAAACTCTTCATTATTAGTCTGGGAAAATGTTTTTTGTTGTGCCAATAAATATCATTATTTAAGCATCTGTAAACCGGAGCTGTGGAAAAATCGTAGCGCGATTTCCTCGCTCCCCATCGTCAGCGCACACGGGAGCCGTTTTCACTCCCAGGGTCTCCTGCACGATCTGGGATCTCCCCGAAGTCTCCCATGCTACTCTCCCTGCCCCCTGCTCGCGTCTCCTGTGACCCCCTCCATTCATCCCACCGACGCCTCTGGGATCCGAGTGGCTATCTGAGCACAACGACCACAGGTAATGGTTCTGGGCCCACGATCTCTCCTGGAATGCTTCCGAACCCAGAGGCGTCGTGATCGACACCAGACAGCGCCCACGCTCCCAGCGTATTCATCGCTGGCTCCGCTATTTCCACCAACCAAATCAAGTTCATTGGCTATCACTCCCGACTCCACTTTTTACGTCGACAGCCACACAAACCACACCGCCAGTTCTCGGTTACTGCAAATCTCGGCGCCCTCCGTTGTTTATGTCACCACTCGTCACCACCGAAATCACCAATACCCTCTCCTTGCAGCAGTCAGGTTTCACCCTGACGATTGCAACTCCGTCTTTTTGTTTGTTCCAGATTCATCAAATGACCTCAAGAAAATCCAACGGCGTCAAACTAATCTCGCTCGTGTCATCTGCCATCCTCGGCTCAATCCCCTCGCATTTTCTCCACTGGCTCACCCCATCGCCAGCAGGGTCAGCGAAACATCGACTGCCTCCGCCACAGCGCCTCCACTTTCGGTGTTCCACCGTGTCCCTCTTCGTCCCTGTCACCCTGCGCCACCGCTCACGGTTTGGAGTCTCCGCAGCCTGAGCCTCAACCTCCTCTCCATAGCAAGGGCCAGGCCCGCCACTGATGGGCGTTGTTTGCTATGTAGCAGCACTCGCCGTCAACAGGAAATCTACGCCGACTTTTAAGAGACCCTTAAAGGCTCCACCTTTTCCCCTGGCGTTAGAGCAGTGCTTCTTAACCTTGACTGCAGCTTTGCACTGCTTGGGTTCTCAATCGTTAAAAAAGATGCATAATGTTAATAAATCCATAGAGGATTTGATTAAACGAAGTATACTAACGTGCCCGAGCTTGATTTGTCTTTCGATTATTTATCTTCTAAAAAAAAATAATCTGCCCCTGTCTCACACGAGCAGAAGAGGCATCCCGCTCTCACAGGAGGTGCAGCGTTCAGCGTGCACCACCGAGGCACTGCATTAGAGTGACACTGAGCGTGACTCCTCGTTTCACAGTCACGATCATTTATGTCCGCTATCATTATTATTATCATCACAGCAATGTCTGAGAGGGTAGCAAGTGCAAGAACCCCAGCTTAGCGATACGCAGTCAGAATAATAACGGACAGAGGGTCACGGCAAAGATGTAGCGCACCATAGTCGCACTGGTTGTTGTTGTTATTCATCGATTGAACTAAATATTGAAATATGAATGCATGCGGAGAAATGGTCGAGGTATAATTTAGTCGTCCAGTTGAGTCGACTAGATAAATATCTGGAAGGATAGACGTGCAGAGAGGAACTCAAAACCAAAAAGGCACCACCGCACGAGCCGTGGCTGTTTCGTTTTAAACATTAAACCGGGCTTATGAATAATCCCATACAATTATATTGCCTTTATTTAATGGAGAAGTACAACCTTGCGATGCATGATCTGTTTTGCAAAGGAGAACGGAATTAGCATCGGAAAGTGGCCGCTGCGGTTAGATTTTTCTAATTTATTGCTGGTACGAGCACGATAATTTTAACCTCATGCACAATCACCCCTCGATTTAATTGGCTTGCCCGGGTCTTTAACACCCCATTTGAATATATAAATGATGTTCGTGATCTGAAGAGAATAACCCAAGAGAATTATCGAACCTCTGTAGGTATCAAACTGTTGACAACCAGCTATAACCGGCATCCTTGGCATCTACCGATGTTGGATTTGGCAATGAAATCGAACAAAACGAAGACCGATCAACTTCCCCCACGTGGTCACAGGCGCACACGTCTGCCGCGTTGGACTTTGCTCTGGAGTTGCACGCACGCGCGTGGCTGGGAACACGTGGTGATTATGCGGCATGGCTGCGAGACAGCCCGTGGTCACGTCTCCGGCTGGAAACGTTGCATCGGGAAAATCTAATTTCGTTTGTCTCATCAAACGCAAGCCTGGAATCAGAGGTGCCCGTGTTCGCGTTGTGAATTGTGTTGTTGTGTCGAGGTAATTGACGCGCAAGTACATTTGTTCTTCCATAAAATGCCCCCGTTCGTCCAGTCCTCGTGTTGGGTGACGGCTTTCACGATGCTGGGGAGGGCCTTCTACTTTTGTGAAACGCAGCATGCTGTCCGAACTCCACAGACAGGCTGCGCTAGACGTCTGGCGCTGCTAAGAAGTCGTTCAAGGGATGGCGCGGGCTCACACGTGGACGACTCGAGTGTCGAGTTGATTCGATTTGTTCCACGGATTGATCCCGCGTGTTCGGCAGCCGCCCGGCGATTTGTGCACGGGGAGATCCGTGGGTGCCGCGTGAGCACAACAGCAGCAACAACAACAACAGCAGCAACAACAACAACAACAACAAAAATAAGACAAAAGACAGCCTCTCGCCAACCCGTCGATATTGCGGAGAACGAGTTCAGGGTCTTGAAGGAATATCGGGCACCTAACAAACACGGGGGGTGTTTAACGGTCGCAGACGAAGTAGACGCGCATCTAAGATGACAGCGCAAACGTCGGGTGAGATCTAGAGGCACCAGAGAAAGAGGTTAAGTTGAGGTGCGAGCGAGCTTTGTATTTTGACCCGGTTGAGTGCAGTCATAGAATCGAATGCGGATTTAACTTGCGCCTCAATGCTGCACGTAGACAAAGGGGGGGGGGGGTGGGGGGGGGGGGGCACGTGTCTGTTATAGAGGGAGAGAGGCCCAGCCGGCCACAGGCAGAGAAATACAAAAGGTATTTGCTGGACCTTAGACTTGAACAGGGACAGGGTTTCGAGAGCATGTGGCGGCTGGGAGGAGGACGCTGCGGGTAATTGGAGCAAGCAGGGGAGAAGGCGCGACCTCCCACCGGGGGGAAGGTTGAGAGCGCGGAGGAGCCACGGGCGAGGCTTCTCAGCGGTAGCTGGGTTAAGGTGATGGCAGAGGCGAGAGTGGTTACGCAGCTGGAGGTGACGAAGTGCAGATTCAGATTCAGTATTCTGGGGAAGATTTTGGGTAGCTAAGCAGGAGTGACAACTCCAAAGTTTCGCACTCTATTTTGCCAACTTGGTGTCAGAATTTCAATGGTTGAGCAGTCAAACAGGCGACGCTCTCGCTCAGCTTAACGATTCGATGTCAGCATTGGCCTCACTTTTGAACGTTTGGCATATTCTTTTTAAAGTTCCTGTTGGATGTGGGAGAAAACCTGCTCGTCGCACGAAGGGTTTGAAGTCCTAACGTTGTGCAGAGACAGATCAACTAGCCTGTCTGTGCCGTGCTTTCAAAACTTAAAGCAAAATTTTACTCCAAGAGTGCCCGTGGTGTCCCGTGCACTTTACTTTCAACGTATCGAGTCGCTGTGTTTCAGACACGCACCACCTTAACCCAGCCGAGTCGTTCTACAGAAATCTCTTCATATGAGACGGGGTTTTATTTTTGTTTTTGTTTAATCCTATCAACCCTGGGAACTCTAAATACGCGGCCGTAACTCATGTTCAGACGTAATAACAACTAATTTCAAACACTTCCTGGGGGTGCGAGCTCAGACGTTTCGGCCCACGAGCCAACTGCGTCGCGACAGAACCACGCTGCAGGGCGCGTAGAGGCGTCGCAGCGAACTGGCCGATGAACACGTTGGACAGGAGGAAGCGGGAACAACATCAACAGCAGCACGATGCAGCACCTACACCGAGACGCGATGAGTCGCGTATGCGCTTGTTTTATCGATGGTTTCCTCGACTCAGCAGTATTTGCCCACCCACCCAAGTGTGCTTGTGTACAAAGATAAAGACAAAAATCCACCGTATAGCCTTAACAGACTGTAGGGGCAAGTGCTGTTCGCGAACACCTATAAAGGCCGGCACGGCACACGAGGGGGTGGGTGGCCAACACCACGCCCGGCCGCCTTTGTCTCCCCAGTGGAGATGTTTACACATCGCACCAGGTACTCATTTGAGGCTTAGTCGACCTAGGGGAGACCGAGGACCGGTTCAAATAATCGTCACTGATGTTGGCCGTGAACGGGAATCGAACCCGGGTCACCAGGTGTGTAGCGCAGCATGCTAACCACTACACCACCGCTCCCCACACACACACACCCACCCAAGTGTGTGCGTGTGTGTGTGTACGCACACGTGTGAGATGTTATAATCGTTACTACTAATGACCGTGATTCGCTGGCGGCAGATCGAAAATTACTTTTGTGCAAATCCCGGTTTTTTTCGGCCTATCCGTCAAATTCAATGGCCCAACAGCGGTGGCATTATGGATTCATTTGTTTCTGCCATAATGATGATTTGGATTTTCAACCGCGAGCTGTCGGACGCCATCAATGGAGGAGTAATCGTCGCACTGCACTCATCATCATCTTCTTCTTTGGCAGTCCCTCGTCGATCGAGGAAGACTTCCTCTCACCGTGGTTCTGCGTCTTCCGCGGTGACTGGTGAGCCCAATGCGAGACGCGCAGACTCGACCGCAGTGGGTTGCGGGAGGTACCGCACAGGCCCCGGGTGGAGTACGGGTGAGTGGGTGGGTGGATGGGTGGGTGGGTGAGTGAGTGGGTGGGTGGGTGAGTGGGTGGGTGGGTGGGTGAGTGAGTGGGTGGATGGGTGGGTGGGTGAGTGGGTGGGTGGGTGAGTGAGTGGGTGGGTGGGTGGATGGGTGGGTGGGTGAGTGGGTGGGTGGGTAGGTGGGTGGGTGGGTGAGTGAGTGGGTGGGTGCGTTGGTGGGTGGGTGAGTGAGTGGGTGTGTGAGTGAGTGGGTGGGTGAGTGGGTGGGTGAGTGAGTGGGTGGGTGGGTTAGTGAGTGGGTGGGTGGGTGAGTGGGTGGGTGAGTGAGTGGATGGCTGGGTGGGTGGGTTGAGCTGCGAGCTCCTTTCGCTGAACCCGTTTGGCTTCGAGATGCAGAATGTCAGCCCCAATGCTCTGCGTCCAGTGTGTGCACACGCTGGCCCTTGAGGTTGGTTGTTTCAATCTTGATTTGAAGCTTTCGTGACTGCAGGAATCCATACTCTTTGGTTCTTTCGGTAAAGTCACGTGGGTAGAACACGAGCGATCGAGGATCGCTTGTGTTGCGATCGAAACGTCGTGATTTGTTTTATTTTATTTTATTTCTACCTACGTGACTTTACCGAAATAACCAAAGAGCATAGGTTGGTTGTTGTTGTTGTTGAGGTATCAGGGTAGCGGTGAGAGGATGGTGTGAAATGGATGTGGAATGGAGGTTTTGTATAGCACGAGATATTTGGACGGTTACTTTACCGAGAAGCACTTTCATTACGAGGCATTTTTTTCCGCTCTCTCTCTCTCCAACATTTGTTACAAAGAAAAAGAGCAAAACAGACGCCGCTCACGCTCTGCCTGCGATCGCGTGTCCTGGGTACAACGCGGAGTGAGGCTGGCAGAGTTTTTCGCGGGCTCAGCAGTCGGCTTTGATTCCTCGCAGGAATATTCGCGATTCGCGCTGATTGCCCGAGCCTGTGAACTATACACTAAGCTGCGTACAAGCTGCCGCGTTGACGTCGCCTCGAGCTCCAACGTCTGACGATGCCGTCCTCGGTCTTTCTGGATTTTCAAACCCTTGAGTCGAACAATAAACATTGTTGAGTGTGTTCACGGAGGATGGACAGTTGTGAACACGTCTCCTTTTTTGACATGCCTGCATGCGCTATATTGGTCAATAAAAACACGTAAAAAACATATTAAATCCATAAAACATTACAACATCTGCTTTGATCGTCATGTTACTCAACTCCCGCAGCCCCCATGAAACGCGATGGTAGACATCAGCGCACATCTTGAGTCAGGACCGCAACGCTCCACCGACAAAAGCCGGACCGCCAATTAGGCGAAGTGTAGATTTTACACTCCGCAGAGGTCGAATGCGAGTTGCAGGTCACGGTGTTCCAATGAATCAGATTTATTTGATCAGCTGGGGTATGTTCGGTAAGCACCCCTCCCGGCGTCGGGTATGCGAGGGGGGGGATGTCTCTCTCCCTGCTCAATATCTCACAGCCGTAAAGTGAGACGTCACACAGGTCATCTCTCACTCTAGGGTGACGGTGTCACGGCGTTATGGGTCTATATCGACGCAGCTTCAGTGGTCTGTTTGTGTGTGTGTGCTGAGTACTTATGGCACAGTAGGGGGGCACAGGTGGTGTGTCGATCAATCATCTCGGTCAGTCGACCGGTGGCAACTGCTGGATCTGCCCCGTGACCTCACTGCCAGCGGGCGTTCGACACTTCACGTGCCCTCAAAGTGCACATAGCTTGGCACAAGCGCCGTGGGGACGTCACCGCCACTTAGTGGCGAATGGCAGTTTTTGTTGTACTGCGTACATGTACGTGGAACTTCTTTCGCACCGTACGTAGCCAACTCTGCCAGTCGGAGGTGCAGGGGAAAGGGACAAACAAACAAACCACTCTCTCAATTTTTCAGTGAAGTGGAACAGGAATTCAAACGCGGGAAAATCTAGCTTCGTCTACTTTTGCAAGGGGAGCTTTGGCATGGCAGGGTGACGGTGAGACAGATGCCGGTGCAGCCACGCAGCTCCTTGAACCCCATGCCATTGCTGACAAAGCGGCGTGGACCGGCGCAGGAGTCGGCAAACCTGAAAAACAAGAATTGGACATTTTTTGGTACGAATTCGGCAATAAATAAATAAATAACACACTATTTAAAGAGCCGAAATGCACTGCGTGACGAACAACGAGACGGGTTGGTGCGTCCTTAATAACGAAATTAAACAAACCATGTCACGAAGCCAGTGAAAGAGCCACCGCATGCGGCCCCAGCGACGCGGATTGCCAAGATTCCCTGGGCCGGAGGAAGCTCTCGAGATGCCCTTACAGTGGTGGGGGCGGGGGGCTGGGGGGGGAGAAGCTTTGGCCGATTCTTGGACCACACTTGGCCAGACGACTTGGAAGAGGCGGAGGTGGCCGCGCTCTACTCCGCCGTGCGGGGAGATCGATTGGGAACCGCCGAACGTCTCGATGAAGAATAGTCCACGAGAGTGCTACGAAACCATGCACATCGTGGCGTCAGGCCTTGTCAGTGGTGCGCCTCTTCGTGAATTCGAATGACCGTGGGGCGGAACTCGCCTCTTGGCCCGCCCGTGTTGGAAATTCCACGTTCCGATGAAACAGGAGCCCGGTCTTTTGAAAAAAAAAATAACATCTATCGCAATTAATCTCCCACAATATCGTGCTTAACGTATACGACGTTTGAATGCCACTGGGACTGCGCCTTGAAGACGCCAAAGGGATCGTAATTATGGGTCGTGTAATCCCGCAACTGGAATTTTCCATCCGACTGTGAGTGGAGTGCTGTGACCACAGATGCTGTCGTGCCCAATCGAGTTGTTTATCCATAACAAGGGGCGAATGGAAGCAGTTAGAGCACTGCCCCTCCTGGCTCATCTCCAATTCACCAACCCGCACTGGACCAGCGTGGTGAAGTATGGTCAAACAACCCCAATAGACCAACATGGCAATGGGGAGGCCTGATTAGCTTGTTTATTCAAGTCTGTAAAGCACAATTATTTAACATTTAATCTTTCATCTTTCACGCGATTGATCAATCGTACTTCGTACTCTATGAGAAGAAAACAAAATTCCGGCCGAAGGCCTGGGTGGATTCCTGTCTGTCTGGGTGCCGTGCATCCAAGTTCGTGCGCGTGGTGGCATCTGCGTGATGCCTTCACTCGCATCTCGCAGCAGCGAATTGCGTTCGCGCCCGTGTCACGACTCCCAATCCCTGAAGCAGAATCTTTCGGGGTTTTTTTTGGGTATCAGAATCTTAATTTAGACCGCAGGGGGAGGACTCCGAAGGGCTGTGAAGCTCTTTATTCACAAACGTCCAGTCCGGGGCCCGGTTAGAATGCTGCATCAGCAACAATATAGAAACCGATAGGAGTGGAAAGTATTGGTAAAGGTAAGCAAGTAACTAACAATAAATAGAAAAAGTTAAACATAATTACAAAATGGGAAAAGTGCATGAATTCCTGTCGATTTTTCAACAAAAAATGCAATCTTGGGCCAATAAATTCAAACTTGGGATGCGTATCCCGCCCAAATGTGCGGGATACGCCATCATGCAACCACCATCTGCACACTATCACACCATGCAGTAGTAGAACAAAAATTGTCACAGCTAGAGCTGAAAGTGTTTTGGCTGCCTTTGTCTGGATTCCTTTCTACACAAATCAGAGAGAGAGGGAGGGAGGGGGGGATGAGGAATGGAGGTGGGGGAGGGAGATACAGGAGGTGAGGGAGGGACATACAGGAGGGTGATGAGGGAGGGAGATAGAGGAGGGAGGTAAGAATGTGTCCTGTATTATTATTTTTTGCGGCGTTTGTCTTTCATGCTGTTTAATGTCCACGTGTAGTCATTGTCGGCGTGATTTTGCGTGATCAAACTAATTCTGGGCCTGATGGTCTTTTTTTTTGGACCGGGCTTTAAACAAACGACACGCACGCGTTGTTACCGCATTAGCAGGAAAAAAAAACACCAAAGCAAATCAACGTCTTGTTAATGATACAATGGGCGGTCTCGTTCACGTTGTGTTCAGCTGTTGCCCCGAAAGCTGCCGAAGGCGTGCAAGGCAAGCGCTGTTCAAGATGCCACGCAGCGCAACGCGGGCTTTTGTACCCGCAAATTGACTTCGTGTGAGATAAACGCGCTCTGTTATGTCCGGGCAGTGAGCAGCCTTTGTGAATAACCAAGCTGGAGACAATTGATGGACCGGCCCTCCGTCGCTGGGGAGACGTGGTGCAGCCTTTAAGAGCAAATGATGGAGATTGCGTCTGAGGCCCATCGACACGAAACCCCGAACCTCAATTCACTCTCAAGTGCTGTCCCACCCCCGGTGTGTATGCATCATACCTGTCAGGTGTGACGCACTGTGACGGGTGTGATGCACTGTGACAGGTGTGACGCATTGTGACAGGTGTGACGCATTGTGACGGGTGTGACGCAATGTGACGGGTGTGATGCACTGTGACAGGTGTGACGCACTGTGACGGGTGTGACGCATTGTGACGGGTGTGACGCACTGTGATGGGTGTGACGCACTATGAATGGTATGACGCACTGTGACAGGTGTGACGCACTGTGACAGGTGTGACGCACTGTGACAGGTGTGACGCACTGTGAATGGTGTGACGCAGTGTGAATGGTGTGACGCACTGTGACAGGTGTGACGCACTGTGAATGGTGTGACGCACTGTGAATGGTGTGACGCACTGTGACAGGTGTGACGCACTGTGACAGGTGTGACGCACTGTGAATGGTGTGACGCAGTGTGAATGGTGTGATGCACTGTGACGGGTGTGACGCTCTGTGATGGGTGTGACGCACTGTGATGGGTGTGACGCTCTGTGATGGGTGTGACGCACTGTGACAGGTGTGACGCTCTGTGACAGGTGTGACGCACTATGACAGGTGTGACGCACTATGAAAGGTGTGACGCACTGTGACAGGTATGACGCACTGTGACGGGTGTGACGCACTGTGACAGGTGTGACGCACTGTGACGGGTGTGACGCAGTGTGAATGGTGTGACGCACTATGACAGGTGTGACGCACTATGACAGGTGTGACGCACTATGACAGGTGTGACGCACTGTGAGAGGTATGATGCACTGTGACGGGTGTGACGCACTGTGACGGGTGTGACGCACTGTGACAGGTATGACGCACTGTGACGGGTGTGACGCAGTGTGAATGATGTGACGCACTGTGACAGGTGTGACGCACTATGACAGGTGTGACGCACTGTGACAGGTGTGACGCACTGTGACAGGTGTGACGCACTGTGAATGGTGTGACGCAGTGTGACGGGTGTGACGCACTGTGACAGGTGTGACGCACTGTGACGGGTGTGACGCAGTGTGAATGGTGTGACGCACTGTGGCTCATCACTTGTTGCTGCGATGCGTATTTCTTGTTTCTGGGCGGGACGCGTTACAACCCAAATACCCGCACCTCCGATTAGCACAGTTGGCTACGTACGGTGCGAAAGAAGTCCAACGTGCATTAATGCGTACATTGGGGGAGGTATGCAGAGCACAACCGCGAAACACCTACGCGGTAGTATGTGAGTATGAAGAATCAGGTGTCCATGTGTTTTTGTTACACGGAAAGTCCTATTTAGCCAGTTACCCAGCAAGTTTGCGAGTGAGATCCGTGGTGCATCAGCACGAGAACAACAACAACAACAATTAGAACATGAACGTGATACGTACAGAGCTGACTGGAGTTCAAACATAACTCACAAACACCCCGTGAAAGACCCAACGCAGAAGATCCCCCTGGATTTGATCTTTCGCGAAGCTCATGACCCACCCTGAATCCCATCCACTGCACAAACCCATGGCAGCAGCAGCATCAGATACCGGATGATGCACAAGTGGGAAATTAAAAACTCTCCACTAGTGTGGAGACTGCGGCAATCCAGGACAGACCGTGCAACGTGTAACGACGCGATGCGATGCCCCGATGCACAAATGCGAAGGAGACATCGCAGCGATACACTGCGCTTGCTCCTGCCGCGGTTATCCGGCTTGACCACCTGAATGTGACTTTGTCGTTCTGCAGCTACATCGACATCAGACGCACGGAAGAAGAAGAAGAAGCAGACTTGTACAGGCAACAGCGGTACAGGTAAACATAGTGCTTTCAAAAAAGCTGAACGATAACAATATTAACAAAATAAACGGGCACATTTGCACCAAACACAAGCATATTGAACCATAAACAAGCACGAGGTTAATGACCGATTGGACTAGGAGATGTGTGTGTGCTGCTGGTACGCACCAGCGGGTGTCTGTGTGTAACCGGCGCTGCCTGTGTGGTGTGTGTGTGTTCTCGTGTGCCCTCCTGTGCTGTTGGGGGGTTTCTGGTATTCGCCAGGTGGTTAAATGTCGAGGCTGTTCTCATTTTCTAGATCACTTGCCTCTTGATACAACATATCGGAATCCAAGTGTGGTTTTGTAGTCATTAGAACCACGTGTCTCTTCGCCTGGAATATTGAAACCGTACGATGGAATTGGTTTTGACAATAAAAGTTGGTGAGACGATGTTTTGACGTGCGAACTCTTTTACCATTATACAAAGACAAAGATTCCCCGTGCAGCCTGTAACAGACTGTTGGGGCAAGTGCTGTTAGCGAGTAGCACCTATGAAGGCCGGCACGGCACACGAGGGGGTGGGTGGCCAGCACCACGCCCAGCCGCCTTTGTCTCCCCAGTATTGATGTTTATACACCGCACCAGGTTCTCATTTGAGGCTGAGTCGACTTAGGGGAGGCCCAGGACCGGTTTAGATAATCGTCACTGATCTTGGCCGTGAGCGGGAATCGAACTTGGGTCGCCAGGTTTGTAGCGTAGCGTAGCGCTAACCGCTACTCTACCACTCTCCAATTATACAAGCAGTGGGGAGGTCTTGGATATTTAGATAACGGAGCACATGGAAAGCATGCCTTCATCAAACTCATGGAATGAATCATATGAAGTTATTTATACGCACTTGAATGGTTGAAATCGGCAAGTGTGGTAAATGACTGAGTCGGCATAAAAATAAATAAGTCCACAAGGACAGATTCACTTGCTGCTGCTGCTGCTGCTCGGGTGGATGTTAAAATGTTGTCACGGACACGGGCAGTTGGGAAGGTGAAGGCTGATGACGCACTCAATTCATTCAACCACTCCGTGCTTCCTTACACACACACAAATGACAAATCGATTCACAAATGCCATTGTTGGGTCTCGAGGATTTTGTGCTGAATTGTTTCCCTGTTCATTTTTTTCATACCATCACCAATGACTCAACGCCTGCACCTTTCTGCACGCAGGCGCAAGGGCGATGTGAATGTAACGGATGTATGATCACAGAGCAGGGCCTTCTAACGGCATTCTCAGTGTGCTCCTGCATCTCTACACACATAGATATACATGCTATTTCATTTAATGCTCAAACGTAGATCGACGCGGTGATTGAAATTCCACATTATTATTGTGGGGGGCAGTTCTGTCCGTAAGACAACCACTGTTTATTTCCCCACAAGGTGCTACTCATTTTAACCAACATTGGAGGGACAACCTTTCAACGAGGACTCGAGCACGCCAACTGATGAAACAAGCCCAACTGGAGTGGGGTATAGGGGTAAGGACTGAATATTTTCAGCAGCCGATGTAGATGCTTGGCCTGGAATTAAAGTTCGTTTTGTTTTTTAAACCAGGTGAAAACTCTAAGAGACCAGCAGAGTATGTCACGCGTTCCACTCTAGCCTCTCACATTGTATGTGCACATGAGGATTTGTACCGATATTGTCGTGCTGCAATATATCTAAAGAGCAATGATCCAGGTCATCTCCTCTCTGCTTGGGAATTGTAATCCGTTAAGACTAAACTAAATTATAAACTAATCTTTGGTTTTTTCGGTAAAGTCACGTAGAAATAAGAAAAAATCAAATTACGTAAGAAAAAATAAAATTACATGACTTTACCGAAAAAAACAAAGATTAATTCCTGCAGTCACGAAAGCACCAAATCGAGTTAAAATTATAAACTATTTTTATTTCATTTTACCAGGTAAGGCCCACTTAGTTATATTTTGCTCTTTTTCAGAAGCGACCTGGCCACGAATGATAGCGCAACGAAGTGGATTTAGCAGCCAAAAACTCTAGACGCACGTTTCTTAATGTGGAGGCGGAAAACCGGAGGACCCGGAGAAAAATCCACACGACCACGGGGAGAGAGACACGCAGACTCCAAATTGACATGCGCCAGGGTCGGGATCGAACTCACGACCTCCTTTATACCAGGCGAGTTAGTTAACATCTCCTAGCCACCGTGACTTGACTATAAGAAGGGAGGGTCTCAGTTTTCAGAGGGAGAAGCACCCCCCCCCCCTCACCCCCGAAGGCACTCAGCTACCTTCACAGCCACATGGGAACCCAGGCTACTCGAGTATGGGGCAAATCACTTATCTAGGTCATTTGGTCAATGGTTACGACTTGGGGTCGAGATTTAATTTAAGGTTGGTCTCTTTTTTTGGTCCTGCCCTTACCATTTTGTTTTCAAACAAACAAAAACATCTTCTTTGGTTCTTTCGGTAAAGTCACGTAGAATGAGAATAAAATAATAAATTGATAAAATAAAATAACACAATGATATTCTACGTGACAGTCTCACTCCAGCGCTGTCCTCCAGACAGTCTCGTCCCCTTCACCTGATGAAGGCCGCTTGTGTTGTGGCCGAAACGTCGTGAGAATATTATTGTGTTATTTTATTTTATCAATTTATTATTTTATTCTCATTCTACGTGACTTTACCGAAAGAACCAAAGAAGATGAATCCATGCAGTCACGAAAGCTTTAAATCAAAACAAAAACATCGTCTAATTTGTACAATTTTGTCCACTCCATTAACCCGAAGTGCAACATTAAAACTCATTTCTCCATTGAAGACTCGTCTCTTCAGAACTGCTCTTCGTGTTTAATTTGTTGACGTTCCCCCGCGCATCCGATTAGAGCGGTTGGCTGTATACGGTGTGAAAGAAGTTCAACATACAGAACACACATTACCAATAGGTTTGCATGCATTTCGCGCACATTGTATATTATTGTTTCTCACTACGCATGATGCTGGTGTTTAATTTAGAATCCATGAATCGATGTGCATGGATGTGCGCACGAACTACCCTAGCAGGCAGTGTGAGTTCGCGCCAACATTCGTTGAGGCGTCGATATGCCAGATGGACGCATGCACATGCCTGGCAGAACTTCAAGTATCATTATTATTATTGGGAAAATTGGCAGAGTCATGCTCGTAAGAAATTCTCTACATGCACGGTGATATCTGTGCGTCTACAGCGATGTTGTCTCTGTGCACCTCCGTGCTGAGCGTTGCCACGATCCTGAAAGTCTCCAGCTCGAATGTCCCTACACTTCTGCTTTGAGTGGTTTGGCAAAGCCTGCATTGATTACTCCGTAATTGACTTTGGTCTCAGATAATGAGCTGTGAGCACAACAGCATGAGGGGGAGGGGGGAATTTGTGGCTCAGCAGGCGCTGATAGTGAAACTGAAGAGTGGAGTGAGGTGTCGGCAGTGTCCAAAACGCAGCTACGGCGTGTGAATTTCCCAGCGTTTGTTGTCTATCCGAAATGAAAGTGGTCACCGATACCCTGCTGACCTCTTGCCTGTCTCGGCATCTTACGAGCGCTCTCAGCACCGACCCAGTTTTGGGGCGTTTGGATCACACCGTCGTCTGGCGCAAGTTCCCCAGGGTGATGACGCCACTGTTTTAGCATCCTGCAGCTGTACCGCCACTCTGCCTCTCACGGGCGTCCAAGCCTAACCCTCCTTCGGCCCAGCTCAGCCTGCGATGCCCGTGCCCGTGCTTCGCTTGCAAACATTTTTTTTGCAGGATCCCTTTTTGAAAAGAAGGTTCAAACAAAAGAAGCCGTGCTTGTAGCGCGCTGTGGCACCGAGGAGACGCTCCCGGAGCGAGGTGAGATTGATGGGGTGTGTTGCACTATCAGAAAGGGTTTCTTTTTTTAAGGAATTCATGAAAGTGTTTCGGCTTTACGGGTTTCCCACACAATGGGTGTCAGCTTGATTCGTTTTTTGAGTGATATATACAGTGAGGGAAAAAAGTATTTGATCCCCTGCTGATGTTGTACGTTTGCCCACTGACAAAGAAATGATCAGTCTATAATTTTAATGGTAGGTTTATTTGAACAGTGAGAGACAGAATAACAACAACAAAAATCCAGAAAAACGCATGTCAAAAATGATATAAATTGGTTTGCATTTTAACGAGGGGAATAAGTATTTGACCCCTCTGCAAAACATGACTTAGTACCTGGTGGCAAAACCCTTGTTGGCAATCACAGAGGTCAGACGCTTCTTGTAGTTGGCCACCAAGTTTGCACACATCTCAGGAGGGATTTTGTCCCACTCCTCTTTGCAGATCTTCTCCAAGTCATTAAGGTTTCGAGGCTGACGTTTGGCAACTCGAACCTTCAGCTCCCTCCACAGATTTTCTATGGGATTAAGGTCTGGAGACTGGCTAGGCCACTCCAGGACCTCAATGTGCCTCTTCTTGAGCCACTCCTTTGTTGCCTTGGCCGTGTGTTTTGGGTCATTGTCATGCTGGAATACCCATCCACGACCCATTTTCAATGCCCTGGCTGAGGGAAGGGGGTTCTCACCCAAGATTTGACGGTACATGGCCCCGTCCATCGTCGTGAAGTTGTCCTGTCCCCTTAGCAGAAAACACCCCCAAAGCATAATGTTTCCACCTCCGGTGGGGATGGTGTTCTTGGGGTCATAGGCAGCATTCCTCCTCCTCCAAACACGGCGAGTTGAGTTGATGCCAATGAGCTCCATTTTGGTCTCATCTGACCACAACACTTTCACCCAGTTGTTCTCTGAATCATTCAGATGTTCATTAGCAAACTTCAGATGGGCATGTATATGTGCTTTCTTGAGCAGGGGGACCTTGCTGGCGCTGCAGGATTTCAGTCCTTCACGGCGTAGTGTGTTACCAATTGTTTTCTTGGTGACTATGGTCCCAGCTGCCTTGAGATAATTGACAAGATCCTCCCTGTAGTTCTGGGCTGATTCCTCACCGTTCTCATGATCATTGCAACTCCACGAGGTGAGATCTTGCATGGAGCCCCAGGCCGAGGGATATTGACAGTTCTTTTGTGTTTCTTCCATTTGCGAATAATCGCACCAACTGTTGTCACCTTCATACCAAGCTGCTTGGCAATGGTCTTGTAGCCCATTCCAGCCTTGTGTAGGTCTACAATCTTGTCCCTGACATCCTTGGAGAGCTCTTTGGTCTTGGCCATGGTGGAGAGTTTGGAATCTGATTGATTGATTGCTTCTGTGGACAGGTGTCTTTTATACAGGTAACAAGCTGAGATTAGGAGCACTCCCTTTAAGAGTGTGCTCTTAATCTCAGCTCGTTACATGTATAAAAGACACCTGGGAGCAAGAAATCTTTCTGATTGAGAGGGGGTCAAATACTTATTTCCCTCATTAAAATGCAAATCAAGTTATAACATTTTTGACATGCGTTTTTCTGGATTTTGTTGTTGTTTTTCTGTCTCTAACTGTTCAAATAAACCTACCATTAAAATTTTAGACTGATCATTTCTTTGTCAGTGGGCAAACGTACAAAATCAGCAGGGGATCAAATATTTTTCCCCGACTGTATATCTATAAAAAATAATAAATGAAAAGCGATTGTGTCTGCAGAGCAATAGCAACTAGTTTTGCTCATAAATGTTACAAAAACAGTGGCACGGCGTGTGTGTGTGTGTGCATGTGTGTGTGTGCACGTGGCCTCAGGGTGCACATAGCCTGGCACAAGCGTCGTGGTGACGTCACCGCCACTTAGTGGCGAATGGCGGTTGTTGTTGTTGTTGTTGTGCACGTGTGTGTGTGTGTGTGCGCACGTGTGTGCACGTGTGTGTGTGCGCACGTTTGTGTGTGTGCACGTGTGTGTGTGTGCACGTGTGTGTGTGTGCACGTGTGTGTGTGTGTGCACGTATGCTTGTGTGCACGTGTGTGTGTGCGTGTGGGCAGCGGTGGTGTAGCGGTTAGCGAGCTGCGCAACAAACCCGTCAACCTGAGTTCGATTCCCGTTCACGGCAACATCAGTGACGATTATTGAACCGGTCCTAGGCCTCCCCTTAGGTCGACTCAGCCTCAAATGAGTACCTGGTGCGATGTGTAAACATTTCCACTCGGGAGACAAAGGCGGCCGGGCGTGGTTCTGGCCACCTACCCCTTCGTGTGCTGTGCCGGCCTTCAAAGGTGCTCGCTAACAGCACTTGCCCCAACAGTCTGTTAAGGTGTGCGTGCACACTTGCAATGATGAGCGAGCCTTCGAGTCTGAGTGCGGCTTGACTTGGTGATCCGTGGCAGTTGTGGTGGCTCTGGCTCAGGAGATGTCGATACGCAAGCCTGTTCCCAGATGCATTAGGCACCTTAACAGTTGCAATTACTAATTTGAAAGCGTGCGACGTCCACAGCATGTTGTCAGCGTGTATACGTGCGTGTCTGTGTCTTTGTGTGGACAGATGGAAGATCAATATACCATCCTATTCACGCATTGTACGTTTCCATATAGGGCACATTACATATATACAGGGTGCTTCAAACAAATGTTCACACTTACATGGGACTATCGTTTTTAATGGAAAAATAACGGATAATACACTGTAGCGTGATAACAAATGTATGTTATTAGCTTCAACACGTGCCTGGCATCTTCTCCCGGTGGTCTCCAGAGGCCGCAGGCACAGTTATTGTGGCATTGTCGAAAATTCTCAGAAGTGTTAAACAAAATAGTTTAAGCACCCTGAGTAATAAATGCGTGTCAACCATATTCATTCATTCCAACTGCCAGACTATAATTGCATCGCGGCTGGAATGAAAGATAGTTGAAGATTCAACAACCTCGAACCACTGCAA